AATCTTACAATTCAAACAGGTAGATATGGTAGGAACAGAATAGAAAGACAATAGAAATATTATGCCAATTATGTCAATGCTTGAAGACGAGTATCATTTTATTCTTATGTGCAGCGTTTACCATGATTTAAGAATTAGTTTAATATTAAACGTCATTTTTATCATAGACCTAGTATGTACAAATTCATAGATAAGCTTAAGTCAAACTGCACATCAGTTCTAAACATTTTTTATTTATTTAGCCAATATGAAAAGAAATGATTTATTTAATTTATATCCTAGACTATAAAAATGTCATTATATTCACTGTTAGACACTCTATTAGTGAAAAATTACTGTTATTCAATATCTGAGACTTAAAAGTTGTATTTGATCTAAAGTGTTATGTCAAGCGCAGTCTATCTTAATTCACTTTTCATTATTAAAAAAAGGTTTTCTTGTTTCTAATTTTATGAAAAACAAAAGCAACCTGCAGTGTTGTAAGAGCCTTATTCCTACTATGTCTTTATTTACATGGTCAAACTTGACATTATCCATAAACGAAATGGATACATGTGTAAAAAATATTTCATACAATTTAAAAAAGAAGAAGATTGTTACCTGTTCAATCTGTCTCTTCAAAATGTGATCGATTTTTCCAAGAAAAGAATATACTTCCTTATTATACAAGCAGAACTACAAATTACGTCATTCAACTTTAGCCACTACCTACACGACGCGGGGAAAGTTAAAAACATTATCGGATTAAACTTATTTTTAATATAAGCACGACTAATGTTTTTGGAAATATAAAACGAAAGTATGATGTTTAATTTAAAATAGAGAAAAGAGGAATCCCTGAAGAATAGTAAAATCGAACATGTTGCAGGTATGGTTTTATTGGTATTTTTTCGTGTCATACCTTTTTATGTAATTTCAACTTTTTGCCGTTACATTGAATCTTTATTAAAGATATACCGGTAACTAACTTTCTTTAGAATAATTTGTGAGTATATCAAGTGGATGTTCAGAGAAACGTACAGGTAATTAGGCGAGCTATAGCTTACATCAAGGCATCAGGCAGGTTTACTAAAGATGCAGGAAGCTCAACAAAATTGAAGTTAATAGTTTACTTGAAGCTTGATGTTAGAATGACCAAGCACAAGCCTAAAGAACAATTTGTTTCCGATGAAGGCTAGGTGCAAGTAGGTAAATATCTCCAGATAATACATGGAATAATCAAATTTCTAGTTTTTATTTTTTATAACAGTTAACACATATTCTACTAATTCAGAAGTATTTTCATCTGTATATTATCCGACAAGATTTGTTTTTTGATAAGAAGTAATTGATAAATAAAACATGCACCAGAGTAAGAGAAACCGAGAGTTACAAATATACTTTTAAGGTAGTCTTACTGTTATGCTTTCCCGCCAAAAAATTTCTTTCTAATAAGACGCTGTTATAATTTGTTTGGGAGAAAGAATTACCATGGGTTCCTCGGGGATGCATGGAACGAAGACTGCGTCAGTTGCGTACATGTAAGACGAGCGCACAGACCGCCAAATTGTGATTTTGATGAAGACATTTTTATGTAAGACTATGAATTCTATTATGTAACAAGAGCGAAGCTCGAAGCAGTAAGGAAGACAAAACTATGAAAGAAAATCAATTATGTATAATTATGTATTAAGTTATAGTAAAAAATAACATTTGTTAACATAAAATCCAAGTTCAAGGGGGGGGGGGGGTAATTCTGTAAATAATCACGCTAGAGTTATGAACGTTGTCACACAACATGTGATACTAGTTTGCTTCAGTTTGCTTCTTTAAAAGAAAACATAGCGGTTCGTTTTCGCGGATTAAGACTTTCCTAGTCGGAATGCATTGTTTTGAGATAGGTATTATGTTGCTAGTAATGTTATGCGCGTATAGATTTATATAATCGTTTTTTAAGGGAGTCAAAATCATATTCGGAGGCCAATTGTCTAAGTAGATCGTAATTGCCTTTATCAAAGATCCAAACATTACGATAGAAGCAAAGTCGCTTTGGTTTTTTCAAGTTAAGTAAACAGTATATGGGAAAGTGATACCTGCCATCGTGCTGAAGAAAATGATCGCCAACGCCGCTCATATGGGTGAGATTTTTGTTAGAAGTAAAAATATGAAGTCGACTCAGTAAAGTTAGTAGGTGAGTCAATAATCTGATGAAAAGACAATTGACAACATATATGTTTAATTTTCTTACAGGCGGTAGTGTGTGCAGCATTTAGATTAAAGTCACCCATAACTAAGATGTTTTTAAATTCCAGAATCGATAGATAAATGCATAGAGTCTAATACCAAGGCATGACGGGCGTTGTCTTTGTAAGTGGGAGGGGGGGGGGGTCTATAATAAACTCCAAAAACTATATGCTTATTTAAAAATAAGAATTTCGTTCCAAATCATTCAGTACCGTTTATTTCTAAATCATGACGTATTTTGTAGTGCATATAATCATTAACATAATATATTACACCGCCATGGTTATCGGCACGATCTTTCCTTTATAAGCAAATGAATGAAGAAACAAGTCTGACGATGGAATATGTTGGCCGAACCATGTTTCTGAAAGTGAGAGGATATCAAAGTCCTTGAGTTCCGCGTAAATGGTGTCAAGTTTTTGAATAATGCTTTGGACGTTGTAATGGACAAACGAAAGGTTCCGGAGAAGATCATAATAAATTCTTTGTCTGAGGAGACAGATGATACTGATAAAGTACTAAGGACATCGGAATCAGGTCCTGGGTTTTTATTACCATCGCCCGAAAGAAAAATTATAGTACAAATCTTCCAGGTTTTAACGGACAAGAAAAGCAAAAGTATTGAACAGAGAATGTTGAACGAAAAGACAAAGTTGAAATATTGTTTAATACTAGGTGGATGATTGCGACGAGAGAGAGGCAAAGATATACTTTTTAATATTAAGTCATGATCACAGATGCACAATATTATGCTAAGAGGAATATAGCTGAGGTAAGTGAATGTAGATAAAAACTGTTGTAAAAGGAGGAATTTAAACGTAAAGCGAATGCGAAACACTCTCCCTGTTGTTTGCGCTGGCTGTTTTATTTGGTTCATGTAATTTCTAATAACAGAAATAAAAATTTAACAGCCACCAAAAAGAGAGAATGAACTACAGGTATATGAAAAAACAAAATCCAGCATCTTATACGATCCTCGTATAATGTTGAGTTCATCCTAGAGAGGAAAAGAGGGGGAAAAGAGAACAATTCTAAAAATGGAAACATATGGTATTGAGATGTTGATTGGAAGTATCAATAAGTGCTGGGTAAAATTGCTTGAAAATACTATGAATTTGTAAGAGTATGCAGAATATGTTAGCTGTATTATAGTGAGGATCTAAATTATATGCTATACGAGAAGTGAAGTAGAACAATTTGTAGCATCCCTTGTAAAAAAAAAAAACAATGCTTATGCAATATTGTAAATTGAACAATGAAAAATTCAAAGAACACACCACGATGGTTGAGATATAAACGTAAATACATATAAATACATACACATACATACATACACACATACATACATATACACATATACAAATGTATATCTATTTATTTACAAACAACACATGTACATCGCGCTCAAGCTTAAACAATTTGTAACATCACTGTTTTGCGTTACAAACGCAAATCATGAAAACATAGTTACATGTACTTATATAATATGTAACGACAATAATATGTACTGTGTACAATGCACGTGCATGAGCAATTTTTAACATCCCTATTTATCTTTAATTAAAATGTTACATGAAAATCATACACAAACATAAACAATCTATAGCATCCCTGTTTTATGTAATGTGCGTATTGTTTCGCAAATGTGACATGTACATCGTGCATAATCATAAACAAATATTAGTATCCCTGTTTTGCGTTACATACGCAAGTCGTGTAAACATACACTAGTTACATGTATTTAAACAATTTTCAACAACGATAGTATTAAATTGTACTATGCAAAAATGCACAGGAGTGTAACACCCTTGATAATTAAGATATATTGTTAACTGGTTAAGATATATACGTTCTTTTGTCATACTTAAAATATATGTACTCACTTTTAACGATGTATACGTACTCGATCAATTTCTAACATCCCTGTTTAATTGTTTCAAGATCCCTGTTTATTTTTACTTCAAACGTTACATGTACATCGTATACAAACATAAAACAATTAATAACCTCCATACTTTATGTTATGTAAAACACATACTCTATATACATTTGTACATGCATGTATACAACTCAAAGTGTCAATAAAAATGAAATTGAACTATGCAAAATTCACTTAGTGTAACAGTCAAAACAAAGTTACATTTTTTTCTCGTGATTTGGATAATCGTTAGGCGTAGAAAAGTCAAGGATAACGGTCAAGTCGGCTTCAAAATATCAATAATGGGACGTAGATAGTACAGTTTGTTTATTTAAGTAACAACACAAATTCAGACGTCGAAATGATCTAGGTCACTACTGTTATACGATGAATTCTTTCATCCTTGTCTGTTGCTAATATGACACCATCTGCGGTCCAGCAACCGATAATTTTATGTTTGCTGACTAATGTTCTGGCCGTGTAAAACGCAAAACTACGCTGTTTCGTAAGGTTCTCATTAATGAACGTGCCCTTAAAACCTTTCTTGTTTAGTGAAGATCTAGCTGTATACAAGTTTTGACGGGCTCTATATGATCCAAATTTTACTATTATTGCTCTGGGACCACCAGGCTGATTCGGTCTCCCGACACGGTGACTACGGTCGATTTCAGACAGGTTGATGTTTACGTCTTTTTTTTTTACACGTATTAAGGATAATCTCATCAGTGTTTTCATTCGTTGGTTTCAGGTATACCCGTTATACGTTAATTGTTACGACGACTGTACTTCTCGGAAGAATCGGCAGCTAGCTTTAGTTGACTGACACTATATTTCAACTCATGATTCTCGTGTTTTAAACTCAGATTTTCTTTTTCAAAAAATTGACTTTTTCCTGAAGGCCAGTCAGAACACCATCAACAATTACACTGGCAGACTGGCTAACTGCATCTTTGACAAGATGCATAATTTCACGTTGAAAGGAGGACTTTAATACTTCTGCGATTTTTACAAGATCGTCCTCACTATATGAAAAGTTTGATGTATTGGTGTCGTCTTCCATAGTCTGCAGAACACGAGTTTTTTTAGAGTCTATACTTTCATATGGTGATGACATATAACGTTTTTACTGATTTTCGTATCTGGTGTGGAATCTCCAGACATGGGTGAAAACCTTAGCACTGACCTGTCGATAATGTTTTATTTTTATTTGTTAGTTATTTTCAATTGCACACGTACTGTTTTCTGTAGATGTGCTATTAACTATTTAAAGCGGAAGTCATTGGGCTAAAAATAAAGTAAAAAACTTGATATAAAAATGCACAAAAAAAAAGTTTTAAGCAATTTTAAGCAAAAACATACGAAGTTAAACATTAATCCTTTACTTCCGCACAAATTTTAAATCCAAAATTAAATTTTATCGATTATTCCCAAATAGATATATACTTAAAAACACAAGCGGGGCAACTTCGCTTTTTTTGGGGAAAATATTGCAGTTGCAAAAATAAAACAGACATTTCCCCGGTATTCCATCTGGGTTTTTTGATTGCAAAACAACTTTACAAAAGCTGGGGCCCGTCCAAAGCATAAAAAGGCCCCAGACCAATATTGCGCATGCTTGCGGGGGAATTTCTTTATTAAATTGATGGGATTTTTCATTTAATAAAATGATAAAAATTTCTAAAAATTACAGGCTCGCAAAGGTGGTTACATTGAATTGATTTGGATTAAAACCCCTACCTCATTTCGGGGAAAAATTAAAATTTTTTGATTTTTATCTAGTTAAACCTACTACCATTTAATATAATGGAAAACAAAAAGAAATATGTCCCTGGCACGGCCCCCTTTCCCTGTCCATGCATCACAGACAGAGAGAAAAAAGGAAAAAACTTGATCCCATATTTTAATTGTTGGGGGGAAAAAACGTTTTTTAATTATTTTTTTTTTACCAACCGCAAAGGGGGAACAAAGGTAGACCAAATAGAACTAAATTTTAAGGGTGGTAATAAGAAATAAACCCAATAAAAACATGAAATTAAAAAATACAATAAAAATGAAATGTACGGAATACCAAAAAACATATTTTAAAATATTGAAGGGGTGACCCCAAATTAGCGCATAACTACAATGTTCGTTGGTTTTTATAAGTAGCAGTCATGATAGACATCGGACTGGCCAAAGGTAAGTTTACTACACGTACATATACACCGAGTAACCTGTACATGACATGACCAAAAAAGTTAAATAGGAAGGGTTTATTGTAGATCAAACTTAATCTTTTCGTAACACTTTGAAAATACGAAATGATAAAGTCTAAAATAGCTTTATAAAAAACCAAAACTTAGAACCTGTATAAATAAAGATTACAGTATAACTTAAGCACAGAAGGAGCGATCTGTTAACTAGGGTTTTGAAATTTTCTCTAACATTCGTTAATAGAAGATGAACAAATAAATTTTTTGTTTCATTCCAAATAAGGTTTTTTAGCTCTCTCATACAATCTATTCTTAGTGGCTTGGTATGTGAAAACTCAAGTAAGGCATGCTTTCTGTTTCACATGCATTTTACAAATAGTGCAGAGTCTAGCATTCGTATGCATATTTTCATTCCTCCCCGTCTCTACACGTAAAGGCGTAATACCGGACAAGAATTTAGATAGCGCGGATCTGTACTACCTGTAGAGACATACATTTTTGTTTCATTATCTATATAATAAATACATGTACTGGAGATTAGATTATTCGACCGAAGTGTAAATAGACAAAATGATTCAAGATAAAATGCCTTATAAAATCTTTACATTTGCTGATCTGAAAACAGCATAATTTCAATATGAATTTAAAGATCTAAAACATATAATTATCAAATTCGATATAACTATGATAATGTGATACATGAAATTTAGATCTCAAAGGTTTTGATTGATCGAAAAGTGTAATGTCAAGTACCACCTTTCTTAATTTTCAATATTTCCCATTTCATTTTTGTGTGATTTTATTTTTTATTACTGTTTTCTTCTTGTTTTTTTGTTGTTGTTTTTAACGTGCTTTGCTGGCCTGTTTTTAATTAAAGATAAATATTCAAAACTGTAGTTAATAACATATTTGTAGGATTTTAGTTTCTACATTAAAAAAGCAAAACAAAAACAAACAAACACATAACAACATAGCAACTTGCAATTGCGTCTTGCGTCTGCATCATTATTATGTCATTTTAGCATGGATCAATTTTGCTCATTAAAAAGCTTCCTGTAAGTTCACACCGTTTTATTATCAATCGAAATATTTAAAAATGGCAAAATATGATTTTTTTATTCACAAAAAGTAATAAATATAACGTAGAACATATTAAAAAACGATAGTTACCTGCCGAAATACTGTACTCAAACCTTCACTTCCAACTTTTATCGATTATTCATAGAATATAATATACTTCCTTAATACACAAGCGGGACAACTCCGGTTGTTAAATTGGGTAATAATTATCGTATCTTGCAAGAAAAATACAGGACAGGACAGTTCCCGGGTATTCCGTCGTGCGTTTATTGAGTTGCAACATAGACGATGTATACATATAGCAGGCGTCCGTGGCTCAGAATACAAAACATTAGCGCAAACAATTTAAAATAATAATTTCGAGCATTGCTTGGCCGGGTGGCAATTTTTACTTTATTGAAACTTGACGGTATTTTATTCATTCGAGTTACAATGATGAAAGTTACTAAAACTTGACAAGGGTATCGCAAGCTTGGGTCTGGAATTGACCTTTGAGTGTCTGTGATTAAGACCATGACCTACATTACTCGGGGAAAGATTAACTTTTTGATTTTCATACTATGGTTAAGACCTTATCGTTACCATTTATGAATATTAAATGGTAAAGGCAAATAGAAATATGTCCATAGGGCACGGGTGCCCCCACTTTCCACTGTCCACTGACATACAGCAGGACAGTATGACAGAGAGACAATGGAAAATCTACATGACTCCTATACTTCTAAGTTGTTGGGGGCATAAAAACGACATTTTTCCAATGTTGACATCCGCAGACGCCTCTTCCACAAGCAAACCCAGAAGTGAATAACTACATGATGGCCAACAGTCCTGTAATATGTAATGCCTCAAGGTCAAATATTTTTAGGGTTACGCGGGACACAAGCAGAATATTCAGAATTTATATTAAGTCCACGGCAATAACTCTAACAGAATTAATTAACACGCAAAACTCCAAGTGCCAAGCTGTAAATGCTGATCAACAATCTTGTAAAGTTTGTTGATTCTAGCTCAAGTTTTTTTACAGGTACACGTGACATAACATTTTGGGATGTTTTTTTTTAATACAAAGTAAGGGGTAAATACTTTAAAAATATTTAAACACATATACAAATAAACCCCCACATGAACAATTACATATGCTGACCAACATTTTCGTTACATGGAGGGCGTTCGTTGCCAAAATTCCAGACATGTAAAGTGTTCCTTTTGAAAACTACATTTAAAAATGAGATATATATACGTAATGAAACATGCAATGTCAAATACATTTTTAATAATATTTGATACAATAAAACATAGTTAAAGTGAATACATTTATATCTTTGACGTTAGAAAAGAATACTCCCAAAATACCTGTATGAAAACGAACATGCTTGTACATTTTCTTTGAAACCTTACTTACTTCAAATAGCATCATGATAGTGTGTCCCGGAACATTTCATTCTAAAAATTCATGTACGTTAAACAACAGAGACATTCTTTGAGAATTGTTCATAATAGAAAGTTTTTAACACCATAATTTTACTTTTTGTAAATTTTATGATATGACTTACAGTTTTATATCCTTTAAATATATATAGATATGCATGCAAATGTTATGTAAAAAAATGCAAATTTTGAAATAAAAAAGACAAGTTTTGAATATCTTTGCCAAAAAAATATCAGAATTTTTTTTAAGCTATTCACGCTATATCTAGGATAGAAATATAGAGTATAAACATGCTACTGTCTTAATCAGGTGAGGCTGATGTGAGTTGTAAGGGGTGAGACTTGCTAAGTCTGATAAAATAGATACCAAAGACAGTAGCATGTTTTTCTTTTATCACGTTCCTCATAAAACAGTCAAAAAAATGTTTTAAATGGCAAATTCTATAGAAAGAGGCATTTTGTCCAAATAAATAATCCTTGCAAACAATTCCATCGGCCCTGAAACTAATACGCAATTTGTAAATTGTTGCCATGTTTTCTATCGGCAAGAGTTTATTTTGTTTGCTAATAAATAAAACATAACGTAATTTAATGAAATTCTTACTTTGAAACATCGGTCCTAATATACCCTTTTGAATTACATAAACCTTACTGCATTTCTTTTAAATGTAAAATTCAAAAGTTTGCTATAATCTTCTAAGTTTAATCAAAATAATGTCAAAAACGGTTTTAAACACAAGGTACACAAACATGCGTTTTATTTTCCGAATGATTTGCTTAGTTATTTAATAATCCTACTATGAAACAAGGTAACTATTGGAAAGTTCTTCAATAAAATCGTCCAGCCTGTTCATGCTGTTTGTTATTTTTATATTTAAGAATTTTAATAAGACATAAAATTTCAATTTATATTTCCCTTCCCTTAATATATAACATTCCCTACATTTTAATGATACACGTAAATGACCGATATTTGTTTTTATGTTATACCCACTTGCGTCCGTCCGTCCGTCTGGATGTCCGTCCGTCCATCCGTTAGCAAATTTTGGTTTCCGGAGCATAACTTAAGTACCATTTAACCCACAATATTCAAAAGTTATAGGATGATTGTCCATATTGAGTAGTACACTCCTATTGATTTTGGGGTCAAAAGGTCAAAGACCAAGGGTACTATTACCTTAAAACTGAAAACAGTTTCCGGAGCAAATTTTAAGTTCCATTTGGCCCACAATATTCAAACTTCATAGGAGGATTTCTATTTGAAGGTGGTAATGCTTTATTTGATTCCCATGTCTTACAAATGCTTCATCCTTACATAAAAAAAAACACTTTCGGGGATATAATGCTCCACCAAGCGGTGCTGTTGTTCTTATTGTAACCCAATAATGAAAAGCCAATAAGATGTATGGTGGGTGTTCCTGATTGGTTGGATGACCACAGACACATAACAGCATTGCTTTAATTAATTGTGACGCGCTAGTATTACTCTTACCGCCTTTTGATCAGCATTTGTTTTAATGACATGCCAAAAGATTAATTTTACTTGAAATTGATAATATTGCGAGTATTGCTTCTCGTGAAAAATTTTATACAGATAACAAACAAATAACATTCTTGAAAAGGCATTTAAAGATTTAAAGGCAACTTTCAAGTACGTTCATCCCCCAGAGAAAACTATTTCTAAACTGAAGGGCATATCCCCAGTGCCCCATAACTACCCTCAATCTGAAAATATTCGTTTTTCCATCCTAAAGTTTGATACAGTCCAGTGGCCCTTGTTTCTTTGTCTACGTGAACCACGTGTACTTATATAACTGTGCTTTATTTGAAAAAAATCACACTTTTTTTCTAAAGAAGAGTGCGTTATCTAAGATATCTCACTGTGCGTTATTGTCGATATAGCATGTCACTGGAATCAAAGACAAATCACCGCACCATGCAATAAATATATTTTAAGCTCTCTATATGATTAAGTAGTATCTTCTTTTTGTTACAACTAATACAAAAGTGTACATGTACTTAATTTCTTAATAAATCAACAACGTTTGAAATCAAAGAGTGGCAAATCATTTTATTTTCCTGATAAATACATTTTATTTGCGACAAAAATGTCTAGATAAAAAGCCATACGTAAAAGACTGCCAATTATTTGAAAATAATTCTTAAATACAATTATTTTCTTTTTGTACAAGTCAAGAGCAACATTGGTATACACAATTTATCATTTATCTGCATAACATTATTCGAACTTTGATGAAAGAAATACAGATTAAAATAAATATGATTGGTCCAGTCTGTTTTACCATTAAACTATCTTTTTCAAATCTTTTAACTTCCTTAAATATAACATAATTTTGTTTTCATTCAACATTTTAACATATTTAAAAACAAACAAGGCACACAAACAAGTTCATGGTAAACAGCTGCGTTAGGGATACTTATATTTACACTCAATATCATTTCACGGAATTTTGAATGCACTTCTTCTATTTCACTAGATGTATTTTTTTTACCAAATCTTGGATGCAGAGATTAAGGTCAAACTTAAACTAGAAAACAATACAAAAGTTGGCGGAATCATTCGATTAAATTTATGTCTACTACATTTGATAAACAATATCATTGAAGCTTCCAATGATGTTCAAAGAAACTTTTCTTGATTGAGTGCAAATTAAAAACCTTTTTCCTAAGTAATAATAACAGTAACTGTATATCATTTACAATACTTTGTTTATGTCTTTAAAAGAAGAAATCTGCAGAAGTGAATATAACTTTCATTTCATGAATATAATATCATTGTTCCATCACAGACAACATAAAATTTGGACTTTTACTTATGTTATCAGGAGTGTACCCAAAGCTTACCACGTGCATATAATACAATCATGAAAAGTTATTTATTAACCTTATCCACTACTGGTAACTAGATAGAAGAAAAACGTGGGAAATTCACTTCCTTGTCATAAACCAACAGAATACTGACTGGTGTTCCAAGTAAATAGATAAATAAATAAATCAAAAAAGAATCCGAATACATACATTTGATTTAACTTTTTCGATGATTATATCTTAAACAATTTATTATATTGACACCCAATACTAAGGATATACAACTTTAAACAAAAAGCATCCCGACAAGCACAAGCAATTCATGAAACACAATTACTATGCTTATTATGCCTGTCATTATTAGTATAATTTGATACAATAAATGAGACACACAAAGAACAATTGATTAACAGTTGATTTTTTTTTCTGAATCCAAATTGAGTTTCATAAACACTTTGTCAGGCTATTAGTTTTTGCCCTAGAGGTTGAAACATGATAACTTCAGCTATATCACAATATTTACGCGTATTTACATAAATTTCTTCACCTTTTTTAGAAAGTATCTTTCGTCCAGCTATATGGAAAATATCTACTTACAGCTACATATATCACTTAACTTGCATAATGATTAATCTAAAAACTCAACAAGACAATTATTTGAATAGGAGTCATTTGTCTTAATTAAACAACATTTATAGTACACCATCATCAGTTTCAATTTTATCAAAATCATGCATGGTTGAAAATAAATCAAATTCCTGATTTTCTAGCAAATGTTACATGCTTAAACTTTAAAAAATACTGAAGTTTTATATCAGGAAAAACACTTCTAAATAAACAATGTAATAAATTTTGTAAATTTTCTTTAAGTTACAAATAAAAAAAACATAGTGAAAACTTTGTGATACATACATCAATTGGTACCGTAATTCGTGAGAATTCGGTCGTTTTCTACGTTTTATGGCGTGACGCTGTCTGATCCATTATTAAAGTTAGCTTATTACGATTAAATAAATGATTAGCAACACCTTAAACTTTTCAACACTAATTTGTTCACAACATTAATAATTTAGAGTCACAAAGTCTTTCTACAATATAGATAAAACATAAACTTATAATCATAGCATACGCAATTAATTAAAGGAAGTTATAAATAAAATAGTTTTCATTCTTTATCACGTCATAGTACCATTCAATGGAAAACAAGTCGAACTAATTTACAAATGATAATTTAGATTGCTTGAAAACAACAAATGTGTAACTAAAAATAGTATTAAGCAAAAAAAATCTTCACTTTACCAGACAAGGAATACAGAACAAATATCATAATAAAAAGTCAATATAATTAATTTGAACTTGTCCTGTTTATCTTCAGTTTTTACGGCAATCTCTGTGTCACCAAATATAAACCTTGTTCCGATTTTTCTGTCTATTCCAAGTGAAGTATCTGGAATAGGCATCACAAACTTGCCTATTTTGGCACAACCTGGCTCAGTGATAAGACGGGGGTCAGACGATTTTGATGCATATATTTTCATACATATAGTTGTTTGGTCAGCATAAGGAGGGTATGTGATCATTTCCATTTGTTCTTCTTCTAATTTTACAGTCTGTCCAATTTTTATGTGTTTCATGAAAATATCAGAACAGTGTAATTTTCCATCAATCCATTTTGTCCTGGTCGGCGGATGATTACAATTACGAGTTGTTTCATGGCAAACTTTCTGTCCATATGTGTACTTGCATATGCGCTCGGAGATTGTGCTTGGTCGATGACCAAATATAACAGCCCCTTTCAAGACAGCTAAACCAGCATCTTTTGGTATAATTACATTGTACCTTCTTCCAAATGCGCGCTTGACAGCATCTTGAAGAATACTTGACTGCGAAAATCCACCAACCATAACAATAGCTGTACATTCTCTATTCATCCTTTCTCCCAATAACGACGCTAAATGCTGTAAAATACTATCTACCGATTGTGTGAAAAATGACTGAACAATTTCAACATCAACTCTAGCTTTGCCGCTTACATAAGTAACCTGTCCTTTGAAAGCTGATGACATGATTTTGTCCTGTATCGACAATCCAGTAGCATCTTTAATAGTTTCAGCAAATGTCGGCGGTATGCGAAATGTCACTTTGCCTGAATGACCTGGTGACGTTCCCCGTTTCTTGAACTCAAACATTCGGAGCAGATCAATATAATCATCCATGTGCTTTTCTTTAAACTGTTGAAATGTCTCCGGCCCTATAAAAAAGATTGAATATTAGAAATATGATCGCTTTAAGCATAGACAACTGTTTAATTTTCAAATTAAAGATTGTGAAAATTCAGTAGATTTTACCAGCTGGTGATATCAACCTATCAAACACACTGTTCACGTAAGCAGGTAATTTCATAATATATAAACTGAAATCTTTTCTATTTTGTAAGTTCATTCGAGCAATGCGAACCCTAGCATCTGCATCAAAACATCATATTTTTGCAAATTTGCCTCATTTTTATTATAAGTAGATGGGGAAGTTTTTATGAATGTTTTGCATTCTTCTGTTGTGAAGTTGAGTACTTTATACAGTATAGTAATATGCTTAAAATATTTTGTATAAAACTTAATTAAAATCGTAGATACCTGCTATTTCTGAAAGGAATTGTTCGTAAGCTTTGTCTACCAATGTTCCTCCCCAGCCACCTCCACTAGCTTTGTGTAACTCTCGGAGTTTACCATCTACTATGACTTGATGAACCGTAATATCAATTGTACCTCCTTTAAAATGAATAACATTAAAATAAGTTTTGATATATCATTTTATTAAAAGAAATCGAGATAAAATAACTGTCGGAATGTTTAAGTAAAACAATTACTAGATGAAAAAATATTGCTATATCTGTTGAAATGACATTGAAATAGATGCTGACCTATATAAATACAATGCAAAATTTATACTTTATCTAGATAGATTTAGTATAAAATTTGAATGTTGCCAAACACATTGCGGTAACCCTAAGAAAAATGGAAAAATCATTGTAAGAAGCTATCTTTTCTGTTTGTTCCAGTGTTAATCTATGTTAGATTTGCGAATACCAAACAAGAACAATATAGCTGATTGTGTAGTAATGTATCAATAAACCTATTCAAGTATTAAGTAATATAAAAAAGTAGATGAAAAGTCGATGAAAAAAATCATGGACTAAACAAATAATTCATAGATATAAATACTAGTACATGGTACTTTTTCCAACGGTTTATCCTATAGTCTGCTAAGTTTCTTAGTTGGACTTAGTTTCAATTTATAATTTTGGATTACATAAAAATATGAAACATTGAAGTTCAAATGTAGTCTAGGAGTTTGTTGCTCTTTTTATTTCCTTATTTTCAGGTATGAGTATTGTTTTGATTAATATGACACATTCATATTAACTGCACATTCTATCAAATATATAGCAATTGCCATAATAAGTTTATGACTGTTTAGCATTTGAATCTTGACGGCTTGAAAATTGCATGAAATGTATTTTATCTTAATTCCTTTGTAATTAATTACTTTATCATGAAAACTAAGCTTTATTAGTCACCCTAAGCTTTATCAAACGATTTATCAATAAAGTAACATTAAAATAAAATAAATATTATTTCCTTCCGCTGGTTTAATGACTGAAATAATTGATCTTGCAATTTCAAGACAAAAACATTTTTGGAACTTTTCTTGTCGATATGACTATAAATTTTCATATTTTTGCACGCAACATAACCTCAAGCGCTCTTCTTTTGATAGCTTTGGACAGTGGTGTTGCCTATGACGTGTCCAAACAGAATTGTATTGTATGATCTCTGGACCATACACACAAAGCCATTTTGTAACAACTGCCTTGATGGTTTTACAGTTCTCTAAACTGCTCCAGGAAAAAATTGTAGTGAAACTTAGCTGGTCAGTACACAGGGAGCCAATGTATTATATACTTTTGACTAATGCAGAGCCTAAACAGGTTTTAACGCAACGTGCTTTTATTGAACAATTTCATTCTTCTTTGAACGTACTATGCAATTCGTAAACCTGTGTCATTGCCGTTGCTGAAGGTCGATAATGTTTTTGTATCATATATTCTGCTCTTCCCCATAAAAATACTCGTGTAGATTCAATACTGAATTTATTTAATGAGTTGAATTAAAAAATTATGCTTGGCAGAGGCTCGCATATGATTTTGTTCAACTTGTTCAATAAATTTAGTAATAAACCTACACTTATTCAATATCTTTTATTTGTCACATTATTGTAAAGACGTCATTTTACTTGGGTCAAAAAGTGATTTTCTCATAATGGCAATATATTGTGCATGGTTTAACACCGTTGTTGTGTGATTGACATGCATCAATAGCATATAGACGAAATGAACATTTCATAAAACAATCTAAACATATTAAACTTAGTTTCATAAAAACTATTCTCAAAATGTTAAGAATAGAATTGAGTACTTGTTTCGAAACTCAGTCAAGTCTCGATGACAGCAGGGGTAATAAAATAATTTGAAAAATCTACCTCCAGCATCTAAGACAATATACTCCATCCCCGATCCGAATAATGCTAAGGAATTTTTTTCTTGGCCTTTCTCAACGGGTAAATATCGACAGTAAAGAGAGGCTGCTTCCGGTTCAAGTGCAATCTTTAACTTTGACCTTGCAATACCAGCCTGTTAAATAGTTTGTAAAGTTGTTTTAAAAAGTTGATATTTTTAATGTTTTTGAATAAAATAGTTATTGAATTGACGCTTGATAAAGATTTTGTAGAAAAGTATTTATAGGGGGTACCCGGACCCGTCTTTTAACAAGACATGTCATATACCAAAATGTTCACAAATGTTTGTAGTTTCCAAAACTGCCGGCATAAATTGGCATCAATAGTGGCGAACAGAGAAATCCAAGATGGCGTCCAAGATGGCCGCCAAAAAACATGAAAACTATTAATTATTGTGTATTATTGCTTATTATTTAAATTTTGGTCATTAAAACTGCTGCATTTGTTCTCTTTTTGTATTCCTGTGTCAGATATATATCAAAATGCAGTGTAAGTATCTTTTTTGAATAAATGAATATATTTAGATAGTAAAAAACAGAAATTTGTGACAAAATTAAAAATAAAAATTGTTTTTTTTTTAATATGTCCCATGATACATTTTTGTTCATGTTTTCATGTCATTTATCAATAAATATGTGTGTTTTGACCTATTTTTACAGAAAACAACATTTTTACATAGAAAAATGTGCCATTGAAGGTCTTCATTTAACTGCAATACAATGGGTATTTCTAAGCGGGTGGGGTAAAATAAATTTTTTTTCAAAAACACAAATTAACTGTAAGAAACTTTATTACAGCAGCTTTAAAAAGAAATACAAACAATACAAGTGATCTGAACAATCTTGTAATATTTCACATTAAATTGTCTAATAATTTAAAGAACTGAGTCATTCAATATGTAAAAAGATTGTGATACATTAAATTTTGCTTTAAGGAAATATTTTCTTTTAATCTTTACCAACATGTTTTACCAAAAACTATGAAATAATACTAGTAGTTCATTTCTATGACTTGAAAAAAAGAGATACATGTAGTACAATGATATCATTTTAAGTGTCTCGGAGAAAATTCCCTTTAATTCTGGAAGAAAATTTTTTATTTCATGCTTTCCAGTGTTTTATTGTAATATATCAGATGATTATATTCTGATAAACCACTAGTGAAATTTATAAAATATAATTTTCACTGTAGCCGGACTATATCTAAATGCGGATGAAAAGAAAATCATAACTAAATGGAATAACAGGCAGAAATAAATGCTGTCATGCGTAAATTTTGCTTCTTTATGAAAAGAAAGTCGATGTCACCATACATCATGTTAAAAATGTAACAAAATTAGAGAAATTTAACAGAACTATATTTCAAAATTGATGATGTGACGTCATGATGTGATGACGTCACAAAGGAGAATGCGCGACGTTACGCGGCAAAATCAGTAAATAATACTTAAAATCACTTAAAAAGCATGAAATAAAAAGAAAAAATATTTGTTTTACATATAAGATTGAAATATATTTTATTCGTGAACACCAGCTATTATATTTTCACTCGTGGCTACGCCACTCGTGAAAATATTGCATCTGGTGTTCACTCAGTGAAATTATATTTCAATCTTACATGCAAAACAAACAAATATCCTCTATATAATCATTGTGAAATTTACTACATGTATATTAATGGAAACTAGAAAAAGCGACATTTTACATGAAATGATATTAAATCTTTGATTATCCAGAAGTATAGAAAATGTATATGAAACATATTTTATCAAACACATTCCTCCAATACATGTGTTTACATGATATTAAAATCATTCAACAACTGTATACAATCAAAATATACATGCATATGTTACAAAATATTTTTTTATTCCTTATTCAAACTTCAATAAAATTTGCCAAGATATTTATAAAGTTTCTTTTTGCAGAAACATGTAGATGCAAAATGTGATGCACTGAATGACTGGCATATAAAACAACCCTGTGATAGAAATATTAGAATAACTTTTATAAACAATATTGGACAAATATTTATTTTGCCTATCAAAATCATTACTATCAATACTAGCTAGCATTGTGAACAAATTTTGGCAAAGTTCAGTTTCTTCTACACAACCCTTACAGTCACATGCCTGTGAACATGGTTGTTCAGTATTAGAGCAAATACAGTCTTCGTTACATTTATTTGAACAAAGACACACAAAATCATTGATAGTTCAGATGGTGCAATGGGTTGGTTCATCAATCATATATCCAAAATCTAAGGGATCAGGTAGTTCAATGTGTGCTTCTAAAGCACCTCTCCAGATCCACATCTGATACAGACACCGTAGTAAATGTAACCTAAAACTGTCATCTGTAGGCGGTAAGTTTTTGGGTTTTATGTTTTTCTTTCCCAATACCATACTTGTTCTCAAGGAATTCAATGATTTACAGTCTTTACCACCATAAAGCAAACCAACAAAATCAACAGCAGCAATCATAGTATTACTGGACAAACAAAGCTCTAGTTCAGAAATACCTGACAAATTATTTGAATGTTTTATCATGATTTGAAATACCCTTTTCTTTCATCTTCCAAAAAAAGAGGAGCAAGTGTCACATCCTGTCAAACAGTATATTGGGAGCAAAATTGCCTGTTCAATTTGCGATAAAACAGCAGCTACAGAAAGAACAGGGATATATCTTGTCAGATCTAAATAAGTGCTTTTTCTACCAGTCTTAAAATACAACTCATCAACACAAAGCTTGTTAAAATGATAAACAAGCAGAACAAGTACATCTGTGTCTGGACTAACAATAACTGCTTTTTTAAAAGTGCTAATTGCTAATAGTCTAAGATACATCTCCTCACCATCAATTTCAATCTGTTTTGATCTAGTCTTTACCAAATATAGAGAGGTATTCATTTTTTAAATATTATTCCTTTTAAGAGGATCAAAAAACTTTTTGTGAGGCGGCTTACCTTCTTCATGCATCAAACGGTCATTTACAAACTCAAATAGCATGTCCTTACCTGTGTCATGGCAATTTAATAAACTTTCTTCTACATCTTGTGTAGTTTCAATACCAGTTGCAAAATTTACCAACCTTGCTGGTGGATTATCTAAGGAAAATGGATCGATAAAGGTTTCATCAAACATATCTATCATCTTACCTACTACTTCATTGTAGGATTGTATGTGAAATGGTGTTTCGGTGTGATGCTTTTTTGCGTTTATATTGTTAATGTCAGGCTCGTTAGAAGAATACGCCATAGCATACTTTGCTGTTATAGGTCGAGCCAAAAACCAGCGATTTAGGGCTCTGTCATTATGAGTTATTCCAATGATACCACCTGAAGATTTTAAAGCCTTATTTTCAGTCACCTCTAGAACATAGTCATACCATACTGAACTAAATGGTGATTGGCTCAATTTTGAGACAAACAGACCTCTGGCAAAGCTATCTGATAACTTTACAGGTAGCCGATTCATTTCTAAGACAATGTAAGGCATAAATCTTGAGTAAATTGTACGGTTAGAGGCAAACAAAAATGGCAATAGTTTTGTTTTAGAGAACTGGTGTACATCCCACATAGCATGTCTTGAAGATGCAAGGAAAAGTTTAATTGGTAATGATACCTTATTAAGAAAGTCATCCCAAAATCTAAAAAGTGGTGACGTTTCCCTTCCCTCAAGCCTGAATTGTTCAATAAGAGGTTATATTTTTGATTCTATTAAATGTAGTACTTCATTTGTACTGGCTTCAACACCTTCAGACTTTATATCAAGATTTCTTATCAGCTGAAATAAGTCAGAGGGCAAGGATTTAGAATTATTCCTCATCCAATTAAGAAATTGTAAATAGAATCTTCTGTTTAAGACCTCGTCAATCATTATACAAGCACGCAAGGCTCTATCAAAGTCTTTTCCTGATAAAATATGACCTGCTGTAAGTTTAGCAAAAACACCTGATTCTACTAATAGATCTTTCAAACCAGCATCTCCATAAATGTACCCAATACCTCCAAACAAACTCATCATGAAATGCATTCCACCTTCTAAAGGTAAAACTCCTTCAAATTCATTTGGATTGGCCCAAACAATTTCTAGTGCCTTGGAAAGTAATCCCATATCAAAGTATATAGGGCAGACAGTTTGACCAAGGGCATTCATTTGCTCTTTAGTGCGCTTACGAGTTGTGTAGATTGTATTTTAATCATTTGATGGTGACATTTTAATAGGATTAAACTCAACATCAGCTTGATCAAACAAAAGGTCAGTTTGTATGTGAGCTTGAAAAAATGTCCCTGGTGGCAAACAATCTGACCTATCATCACAAAAACTAATAATTTCATCTCTTCCAAAATTATACAAACTCTCCTTGAGTCGCAAGACTTTAGCATTATCTGGCTCTGCACAATCAAGTTCTTTCAACTGTAACGGTAGATCAAAAACAGGCACGGGTCTGGTAAATGGTTTTGTATATGGCAGGGTATGCGACAAATCACATCCTAAAATAAAAGCATATTTTTGCAAAAGTAAAACAGGGCAAGTTTTCTTATTTGTAAACAAAATTATCTTCTTAAAATATTTCACATTAAACTGTTCTTTTAAAGGCTTGTCTAGTTTAACTAAATATTGGGGGGAAAAGAACTTGTAAAATACTTGTAAAACATTTGTAGCAAACTGAATACATATAGAAACTTTTGAAATACTTGATCGGAGCAAAATGTGAATCTATCAGACATGTACCTGTATGTTTTTAACGCATTCCTATTTATGTCACTGTGAAAATATAATTAATATAATAATGATACATTTACAAGTGATTAGTATTGATATGTGATTTAAGAACATGTATATGAACAAAATCTTTATATACCTGACAATGTAGATGAGTCAATAGAACGTTCTTTAACTCTAGGAATTCTAGTAGCTGTTTGTGATTTCATAGACGACTGCACAAATAAAATACTTGTCATAGCATGTGTTGAATGTTTCCCACTTAATGTATTTTCATTGTGATCCCAATTGTCTGCTGCTGCTACCAACAATCTATCTGACTCTTGTGAAGTATCTACTGACAAATGTGCAGGAATAATAGCACCTGAGAGGGTTTGTTCTTGAATTGA